TCTAACTTTTCCTTATAGTTAGTTATCCTTCCTTCCAAAGTTATCCTACCTTTCTAGTCTTTCTCCTTTTCCAAAACGCCAGAATTTCACCCGTGGTCATACAGGTATAGATCCTCTGCACTAACTGTACAGAGCCATTCACACTGGAATTCATCTGCGCTAGTGGAATTTGTTCTGTGTGTCAAACAGCTCTGCTATATGTGAAGTTCAGCTTTTTCAGCTTGCTCCAATGTGGGAAAAAAAAAAAAAAAAAAAAAAAAAAAAAACTGGTTTTGGAGCAGTGTCAGTCAGGGCTGTGGAGTCGGAATCAAAGTCGGGTAGATTTGTGGGTAAAAGGAGTCGGAGTCGCTAAAAAACATGTCGACTCCGACTTCAGTTTTTGTTGAACAGTTTCAATTTGAAATGAAATTAAAGTGAATTGAAAAAAAGAATTAATGACAAACTGAGTTAATATTTTTATTTATGGACTATATATATTAATAACTAGTAATTTTCTATTTTATTGGCATATTAGTAAATAAATATAAGGGAGCAGGATGGACTTGATGTTTGCCATTATTGATTAAACTGATTCATTTAGTTACTAATCTCATTGGTGAATTTCGATAAGCAGCAAGAACTCCCAAAATTGATGCCATTCTTAGAAAGCAAGCAGAAAAAAGAGCAGCACACTGGAGAAATACATATTTGATGATACAGTGGTTGTTGGGATTAAGAACTTTTTCAGAAGATGTAAATAACCGTAATATTTCACTAACAGAAAGACTGTGGAATGATCTTGCAGAACTGGACACCCTTCTTTCAACACTGTATATAGCCACAAAAAAACTACAATCTGAAAAATTAACAGGAGACAAGAATGTTAGAAGATGTAGATAACCCTAATGTTTCACTAACAGAAAGACTGTGGAATGATCTTGCAGAATTGGAAACTCTTCTTTCTATACTGTATATAGCCACCAAAAAGCTACAATCTGAAGAATTAACAAGAGGCAAGACTGGAAGAATGCAATGTTTGTTCTTTCTGAAATGGAGGGTTTATTGCAGAAGGAATCATTTCTTCAATGAAGAAAAGAGAAACTAGTTTGCTAGACATTAAGATTGTGCAGGGTTCATTATATGTAGATCCAAAATGCCAAATTTTGTTGGATGACAAACAAATTGAAAAGGCAAAGAAAGCTATCTATGAACTTTCATTAAGAATGAAATTATTCTCTGAACAACTGGAATATTCAGGACAGTCAACTGCAGATATTGAAACTGAGTCTCTATCATCCTCTTCCACTGATGAATTAGATTTTGAGAAATATTTGGATAATGTTGAAAAGGCTAAGGCAAAGCGAATGAAAATAAATAACCAAGAGCCTTTAAATATAAAAATGACAAAATACAAACAAGATTTATACACAAAATATAAACAAGATTATATTTTTTGAAGAAATAGATAAATATGCTCTTGCAAGACACCTCTTTTAGAACTTATAAAAATCCTAACCTGAAAAGTTAGGAAGTAGCCCTAACAGAAACAGCTCTTCTTCCTACTCAAGTCAGTGTGGAAAGACTTTTAGTTCTGAAGTTTATCAAATCGGATCTATGGTCCGCTAACAAAGAAGATCTTGCCGAAGTTTTACTGTTTCTTAGAAATTACTAATGCCAGTTTTTCCATTTCATAATAAATGCTAATTAATATAAAAAAATTGCTATGCATAAATTTTTTACTGTAGCATCTATTACTTCTTTTATGTTAAAAAATAAGCTGTGCCAATGTGTATATGTTTACATATATGCGAAAGAGTCAGAGTCGGAGTCATTAAAATTCCAGGAGTCGGAATCGGTCATCCCTACCGCGTCCACAGTCCTTGTGTCAGCTGTCTTGGTTAGCTCAGATAAACCCCTATAACTACCAAATTTTTGAAAACTTTAAGAGTTAAATAAAGGCGTGAAGGTTTAAAAGATCACAAACGTGGAGAAGAGATAGGAAACTTAACATATAAATATTAATAAATACGGTAAGTATATAATATTAGCTAAATATAGTGAACAGCCCTTACAAATCTGCCCCAGTTTTGATGGATATCATCCTTTCAGATTTTTTAGCTCACTGTGCTGTGAAAAAAACTGGTTTTGTAGCAGTGTCGGTTGGGTCAGATGTTTTGGTTATCTCAGATAAACCTCATTCTGAACAGCCCTTACAAGCCCCAGTTTTGATGGATATTATCCTGGAGGACTATTTAAGGGTCTTTCACCCGTCTTTCCCTGGCAGCAAATTATCAGAAGTTTTGGCTGACCAGTATTTTGAGTCGGCAAGTCACACAGACAATGTAAACTTCAAACGTCTAAATCACTACAAAAGAGACTACAAACATCACTACGTAGCAATCTTTTGAGAGCAACTCAATGCTTGCACATTTTAAAGTGTTAGAATTCTTTAACTCAGCACACAGGAGCTGTTTTGTGCTAGTTGTAGAGAATTCGACTTGCATTAAACAGACCTAGGATTGAATCCCAAGGTTATTACCATCTTCAAGGGCATTTGAAACTCAAGCGCTGCAGCACTTCTCTTTATTGCTAATAGATGGCGACACGAACAAGCAACTACTGCATATCTAATGCCATCTCATGATCAGTACAATTAAAAGCATCTAAATCCTTTGCCAAATGAAAAAGCCAAAATAAAAATTAAGGGCTAGGCTTCTACTAAAGCAGAATTTAACAAAATTTGCATACATGTTACATCAAAGTAAAAAAAAGTTTATTTTATTTATTTATCATGTCCTAGTTTATTTTATTTATTTATCATGTTGTAGTAAACTATAAATAAAACATAGGTTATGAGTTTTGCTTACATAATGCACTGAACTGGTGTTTATTGTGATTGAGAACTGAGAATTACTGTAGTCTGTTAGTTGCTACCATTAAAATACAGAATGAAAAATAACAATTAAACTGTCCAGAAATGTATAGCTGGCAAATAGTACTTAGAATGGTACAGGTGATATACCAACCATTACTTGAAACTTGATGCATTATCGAATTCAAGCATCTAGAAAAAAATTAAGCTAAGTTTGTAGTCTGTGACTAATAAAACTTGGTTTTTAATACAGTTAATTAATGTGAACATTTATAATTTTGCATGTTAAAATTCATTTTCATTGCACCTTATATTATGTGATTTAAAAAAAACAAGTAATGTATAATAATTATAAATTCCTGTATTGTTTCCCTCTTTTTTATAAGTACACAGTATTCTGTTTTTGCAAAATAAATTTTAAATTGAATTTGATTTCAAAAGACGACTGCTAGAGGGTAATGCTCACAGGCATGGAGGGAGAGAAAGAAAGGTTTCCAAAAAAGCTGTTAATATGACTTTAATTGAAGAATATGGTTAAATCACAGAAGGTGAATATGACTTTATTGAAGAATATGGTTAAATCAGAAGGTGTTCAAAATTCCCTCTATTCCCACAATAAATGTTTCCCAACGTCAATGCATGGATTCACAAACCTGTTCAAAATGGGCAGTTGATATTCTTCCATGATCCTGGTGAAGAGATCCATGTCTGATACACTGTGGACTTCATGTATCCCCACAGGTAGAAATCCAGATGAGCCAGGCAGAGGGATCATGGTTGCCATGCAACTAGTCTGCCTTTGCCAATCCAGCGATCACAGTATGTCCTATCATGGTATCCCTGCATGGTGCTGCTAAAATGTGCATTCGCTCTGTCATGCTGAAGCCAGATGTAGTGCGTGTAGCTGCTGGATTATCGACCATCAGATCCGGCAACAGTCTTTCTAAAAAATGTGCAATAGGTTTTTCTTATTGAGGTAGTAGGTAAGGGCCGATTAACATGTCATCGATAATAATGAATTAGCAAACTGATTCATTCTTTTCCTGCAACATCCTTGCCTGAAATGATCACACTTCCGCACTGTCCCATAAGCCTGTGAACATTGCCCTGTAGTGGTTGCTGTTAGCATTTTTTGACACAAGTTTCTATGTAAGTCTTGTTTGTCATGATATGATAGACCAGCATGCTCATAAATTTGACGACTTATTGAGACACCCTGTATAATACTTTATAACATGAAATTGGATCTTTTTTTAAAGCTCCTTGATGCTTTTTAAAGATTAGGATTTCTGAATTTATATGCATATGTTTTAATTTTTTAATACTTTTACAGATAAAGTATTTTGAAACTACAGTGAAACTTTGAATTGCAAATAACTTGATTTCCATGTGTGTAGATGAGCAAAAATTTTCAATGAATTTTAATTTGAGAAATGAGCAGCGTCTTGAAATACAAATAATATATGCTTTGTCTACCAAGTTTCACATGATCTGATTATAATGAAGCCAATGTTTTTTTTCCTCTCTTGGTGCAGAAATGAGGGTTATCACCTGAGCTGGGCAGTGAACATTATAGCATTGTGATTGCCTCTTTATTAAAGTGCTGCGGTTGTGTACATAAATCTTTTTCTTCCTGCCCATTTTTAGTGTATCCAAATATAGTAGTTGTACTAATTGTACTGCAGAAATGGCCTGTATGAAGAAAATGGTAAGAATAAAAAATTGATTACAGTACAAATTAAGATGAAAATTATGAACAACGTATACAAATAGCTGACATCCAAAGATTCTGCGAGAAATCTACATTAATGATATGTATAATAATAAAGAAGAAAGAAGCAGTAATATGAATATAATAATTAAGAATAGATAAATGAACATGATTCCATTAATTAATTTAATAATTTATTAAATTTTTACCTCCATTAAATTAAAATTCTTTCCAGTTTTCCAAAACAAAACAAACGATAATTATCTATGTTAGAGAGGAAGATACTCAATGTTTGAACATTTTCCTTTTTATTTTTCAAAAATATATAAAAGTAACAAAGATACTCTTATGAAATTGAGTTAAATTTGATACAACCTAATCTGCACAATCTTTGGATTTATTTTTATTAAACTGTGATCATTTTTGTTTTTCCTGCAGCAAATCTATGCTTGATACAAGTCTTGAGGCTTTGCAGAAAAGTCTGGAAGGTTTAGAGCTTGATGATCAACAGAGAAAAAGATTAGAAGCTTTTCTTACACAGAAACAAAAAGTTGGTGAATTAATTAATGATGATCTAGAAAATTTAGGAGAACTTGGTGCTGGCAATGGAGGAGTTGTGACAAAAAATCTTCATAGGCCAAGTGGATTGATCATGGCTCGTAAGGTAAGTTTCCTAAGCAGTATCTAAATTTTTACTTAATCTGAATTTCGTTTGACCATTTTCTAAATGTGCTTCAAGGTTTATTATTATTTTTTTAAATTGCAAATTTATTTTACATTATCAGCAAGAATATGGCCGTATTTTAAATACGTGTATAAATTTTTAAGTTACTTAAATTTGTCTCATAATTTAGCATTGGATATTCTGCTCTATGAAAGAATATTTAATTCAGAAAATTGAAATGCAGGAAGGAAAGGAAACTTTAGTTTTTTAAAATGCCATCTGAATATTAGCAAGAAACATATTTGCATGTTAAAATTTGAGGATCCTGAATAATCATCAAGAATGGCTAAAATATTGAAGTGAGATTTGTCAATATTAATTTACACATTCCGTTTTCAAATGTAAATTATTTATTTCAAAATGAATATTAAATTATTTTGAGGACAAAACTTTTTCATGTTAAAGAGTACAGATAATAATTTTATAAATATAAAATTATTTTTTAGATATTTTATGTGTTTTCTTATTTATTTCAAGCTCATCCATTTGGAAGTGAAGCCTGCTATACGCAATCAAATAATCAGGGAGTTAAAAGTTCTTCATGAATGCAATTCTCCCCACATTGTTGGATTTTATGGAGCATTCTATAGCGATGGTGAAATAAATATTTGCATGGAATATATGGTATATCTAATAAATTTCTTCTATGTATTTTCAGTTAAAAATGTTCTTTTTGGTTGCTTATAATGTAGTTTGAAAACATTAAATGTGTCTGTTAGCCCTTTACTGGTAAAGTGCCATCTCTGATTGTTTCATTTATTAATCTTTTAATAACTTCAGAATGAACTTATCGTTTTTATTAAACAACCTAATCCTTATAGACCTGCTATCTATTTTGCAGTGCAAATACATTGTTTAAAACTGAACAAACATTTTGTATTATGCAATCTGTCATATGGCATATGTCTGCTTACGTTATGAGGCATCTGCTAGGCTATGTAAAAAAGTAATTTAGACTATGGTGATAAAAACTTTGAAGAGATTATTTTGGGTTGTTCCAGGGAAGTTGGAAATAAATGACTTTATAAGAATATGTAGAGTTGTAGATAGACTTTATAGGGAGAATGTATTGAATATAAGTAAATGTTAATGAATCACGTTTATCAGAAAATACTGCTAATAGCAAACACGAACATTTAAAAAAAAAAAAAGAAAATTTAGTTTAAAGTTAATATAATGTATTAAAAATATTACTACGGGTGATGTACTTCAGAAATTAATCTTTCTCATGTTGTGTCTGTCGCCAAATCTTCTCGATTTCAGGGAGGCTAATGGACCAATGATCATGTTGCTCCTGTGATATTGTTTTAACTATAAAGGATTAGAGGATGTGAAATACAACCAAAAAATTAAGAGCACATGACTATTTTAGGCTGCAAACTGTTTTAGACAAGGCAAGAACTTGAAATGCTTTTAAACTCTTAACTAAAGAGACTTTTGCCTGTAGCAAGATCCTCTCATAATGAGAACAACTTTACTTACAAAGTTGTTTCTACACCTTCAATGTCGTTATGTGTTGTTACTAGAGTTTCTCATAGATTTATATTATATCTATTTTAGTATATGCAGTCAGTAATTTGTATGCTTAACAGTAATACATATGCTGTGTGTATGCAGTCAGTAATATGTATGCTTAACAAATACAACCAACACCTGTTTCTGTTTTAGTATATGCAGTCAGTAATTTGTATGCTTAACAGTAATACATATGCTGTGTGTATGCAGTCAATAATATGTATGCTTAACAAATACAACCAATACCAGTTACCACGTGGAATAGCCCCATCAATGCATCATTCAGTCATCGCCCTAATGTCATACATTTGTGCTACAAGAAAAATTAGAAAATTAAGAAAAGCTATGTACTGATTAAAACATTAAAATCTGGATTGTTCCTCAATCTCAAAAATTCCTCACCAACCTCTTGAATTATGCTTCATAGTAACTCTTATTCTTGGTAATTCAGAAAGAATTTTTGACACACAGTTTAACCAACAAGATTATTCTTAAAGCTTTTTTTTTTTTTTTTTTTTGTACAGGATTATAAACAGGAGGAAAAAACTTCTCTTGCAAACAGTGTTCTGTTTCTACTTCTTCTTAGGGAGGAAACTGATGCAAACGCAAATACTGGTGAAACCGTAACTAACTAAATATCAAACTGAGAACTAAACTCTTATGGTTAGTTAATTGCCATATTTCTAGTGATCGTATAAGTGAAAATAGAGTGCATTGCATTGTGTAAATGCATCCGGGACCGTGCCGTGAAAGGATCGTTTAAACAAGATGTAAAATCAATATTACATATAAGAAAAGACATAAAAGATATAAAGAAAACATAAGAAATAGGTTTCTAGATTAGTTACAAGTTTATTCAAATTTCCCAACAATTAAAATTAAATTTCACATCCTAGGTATTAGATACTCAATTTTCTTATTTTAGTTACACATGTGAATTCTTCAATTTATCATTTATTACACATTTAAATCAAGGATTTGCAAATCTACTTTATGACTCATTTAATTTAACTTGAACTACTGCTGTAATTTCTAGGATGTTAAAAGAAACACATTATCTGAAATTCAACATCGATTCTAAGGATGATTTCACAAAACAAACTATATTTTTATACCCTAATTACTATTTGTCATTTATGTCTCAGAAAAAGAAAGAAGGGGATGTGGAGACAATTTCCAGCCATTTAAAATTAATTTAGAAATTCAATCTTAGTTTTAAATTTCCAAGGAAGTTTCTGCAACTTTACTAAAAATTCATAGGAATACATCAAACACATTAAAAAAAAAAGACTTATCTTAGGTAGACATCTTGAAGTGGAGAACTCGTATCCTAATTCTAGGCTTTCGACAAACGGCACTGCCCCTCGGTTACAAGTCGACGTTCAGAGGACATCGTCCTGTCCCGGCACTTTTTGGCGAAATACGTGGCCGGGTAACTGGTTTCCATAGACGAAAAACTTTCACTCTGGAAGGCAAGAGAACCGCTGGCCCCGCACGGCTGCCCGCATAGACTCTCAGCTCCACCAGGAAAATCGTAGACTATGAAGCTAGGTATTTTTTTTTATACAAGACCGAAAGACATCGTCCTTGGTTTTTCCGATAAGGATGCAAGTCTGCAGCCGGTTAGCATAACTGCCGTTCCCTGCTGTAGGCTCAACTGAAAGAGGAACTACCTTCCTTTAGTCATCACCAGAACTCCAATTACAGTACCTCACCATCGAAAAGTCTGTCTAAAAGTGATTCAAACTTGAATTTTCTTAGTCTCCTTCACAAACACGGGCTCCCACAATGGCTTCATTTATCACCCCTTTAATCTGGACAAAATTAGGGTGATCACACATGCATGCCCCTCTTCACTTAGCCAACATCCGGACCCCCGATCGCCAAAACCAAAATGACTTACATCGAAAGTTAAGTGGCAACCTCTGACCCTTCTGTCACGTACTTCCTGTCTTAAAGGTCAATTGCACAAAAGAAATTTCTTCTAGAACATTCTAATGGACAAACAATGCGCAAAATCATGACTTAGCAAAATCGCCTCCCTTCCCTGCTTCTTTTCACAATGAATCAAAGCTTGGACAATAATTGCAATTAAAAGGAAAATAAATAATGTTCTTTGAAACTAAATAATATTCTTAGAAGCATCTGTTTTTTCCCAAAATTAAAGCATTAAAAGAAATAATTCAGAATCAAATAAAAATTAAGATTTTCTTAAATCAGAAAATCATTCACCTAGTTTTTTATAACGCGATCAATTATCTACAAATAGTATGCAGTCAGTAATATGTATGCTTAACAAATACAACAAACACAAGTTACCGCATGGAATAGCCCCATCAATGCATTATTCAGTCATCGCCCCAATGTCATACATTTGTGCTACAAGAAAAATTAGAAAATTAAGAAAAGCTATGTACTGATTAAAACATTAAAATCTGGATGGTTCCTCAATCTCAAAAATTCCTCACCAACCTCTTGAATTATGCTTCATAGTAACTCTTATTCTTGGTAATTTAGAAAGAAGAATTTTTGACAGCCAGTTTGACCAACAAGATTACTCTTAAAGCTTTTTTTTTTTTTTTTTTTTTTTGTACAGGATTACAAACAGGAGAAAAAAACTTCTCTGCAAACAGAGTAGAAGCTGATGTGCATTCAGTTTTCTAAATCCATATGCAGAAAATTTATATAAAAACAGAGCGAAATATTTGTTCTTCAATCATTTTTTATATTTTTATCTCAGAAATGGTTTTATTTGATCTTGCTAAAAGAAGTTTAAATATCAACGTTTGTTTCAAAGAATAGTACAGTCAAAAGTCGTTAATCCGGACTCGTCGGGACTTCGGCGATTCTGGATTATCGATTTTTCCGGATTATAGATCATCAGTTTAAATCTCGTAAGATGGCATGCAGAAATTCCAAAATTAAAAATATGAAACCGTAATTTATGAAATAAAGAACAATTATGATCTAAAGGGTATCAAAATTTGCAAAAAGAAAAAGCTTAATATTTATTTGTTTACTTTATTAAACATTTCTTTCAATGTAAGTTGTTTAAGTTTTGCTTCGTTTCATGTGATAATACTTTCTCTTTAATTCTATTAAACAGACATAATTTCTTGTTCAGTTACAAAGTTCCGCCGTTCAAGTCCTATAATTGCTGTGTCAAGAACACCGACTAATTTGTCAATCGAAATTTTTTTGTTTTCAATAACCTCTGTCACTTTTCTTCGCTATCGGAAGCGAATTATAATGACGAGGAACTTGTTTTAAATCATATCAAAGACGGAGCATATCGAAATGGAATACTACATTTGGTAAGGAATTATAAGCCAAATAAAATAAAAACATCTGCGCTGAAGATAAGGATAGTGCTGACAAATCAACTTCCAATTCATTACGCGCCCACCGCGGAGCAGCGTGAAAAATGATAAACAGATTTCGGATTTCAAAACATACTTTCGCTTTAGATCCTTTACATATTAACAAATATATATCGGAAATTCTATTTGATATAATCGAAAGTTTAAGCTTACTTTTATAAAATTGCTCTTACAGTCTGCAAAAAATAATAAGCCGGATGCAATTCGAAAATTAAGGAACAACGCAATCATCAACATTAACTGAAATAGATAATTATTTAGCTTATACATCCATTATACATAAAATGCGCAAGCGAAAATGTATTCTGCACTTGCGCACACTCATATGCGCAGTCGTAAAAGGTCTTACGCGCACGCGTGAACGCCTCTGCGCATGTGTCAACGCGGCGCATGCGCAGAAAGTTTTTAGTTTTGATGTCCGGATTATAGATCATTCCGAATTATGGGTGTCCGAATTAACGACTTTTGACTGTACTTACATTTTAGTGCAATCATTTTGTTGTAGTTTGGTGATTTTTTTTTCAAAAGAAAAATAATAATGATTTACAATTTCAAAAAAATTATTTCCTTCATACATACCTACATGTATCCATACATGTATACATACATATCTTTTTATGATTTAATTAGTTATTTATTAATTTAAAATAAATGTACTTACTTACCAGTGAGATTTTTCTTTTCGGATGGAAATTGCATGGCATCGCACTACAGGTTCAAAGCAATTTTCTATTTTCTGCTTTAGTGATTTTGTGCCAAACTACTGTATTTCTGCAGATATTTTCTGACAATTTTTTCCATTGCAGCCAAATACAGTGCATATTTTAGTTTTTAAAAAAAATAATCACAATTTGTGTATAAAAACCCTTGGAGCATGAAACTGTGTAAAAAAGAGCGCATTTGAATATGTCAGGATTGCTTGTTTAGAATTAAAGAATTGTAATGCAGGGTTGCCGGAGTTTTCTGTGCCTACTTTTACTAGGTGCAGAAAGGTTTATTGGTGCGATAAGGCGGTTGTGATACTGCAATAAAAACTCAAATAATGTTTTACTCTTCTACGTGAAGATAATTGCATACAATTTTACTAGTGTATACATATTCCCTTTAATATATTCTCTTTGTTTGTGGAGTTCGATTGATGGGAAAAGTTTGCATCTGTTAATGTACTATGCTCTGTTAATGTAATGAGGAATAAATGTTCAGGTTCAACGTATTGCCTGATGTAACAAATTTTAGTAGAAGCCTCCATCCCCACTTTTTTTTAAAGAAACAGCAGTCATGCAGATGGCACAATATTTCTCAAGCTGTAATTAATATCCCCTCCTGCAGTGTTTCATTTTGATCATGCACTCTTTCAATTTTCTGAGTTAGGAAGTAATAGTTTACTTCAGATTAAAAACTTGGAATCTGCATTGACACCAAAGCAATAATCCTTCTGTTGTGTTTGTCTCATTAATTCTATTTTTAAGACTAGAATTATTTAAATTTCCATTTATAGGTAAAATCTAAAGTTATAAAAGGAAATTTTTAGTTTGTCTCAGGATTGGCTGAAAGGTTACTAATAAGCAAGATGACTTTAAAAGCAGAGTGTAAAAAAAATGGATTGAACATCTCATTAAATTCAAAATTCAGTCTATGGGTGAAGTAGAAATATTTCATTTGCATCATTTTAAAATAGCCGTCATTTCAGCATTGATTCCGTGTGGAAAAGAAAATTAGATTTCTCCTCCTGTGTGTAAAATTTTGATAATGCTTATCTGTTTCATTCATAGATGAAATATATCATACATTCTCAAGACCTGCTGTGCATGTTAAACACTGATATTGGGTGTACAAATAAGTTTTGAGGGATTTACATAAGATGACATTACTAGTATTAAATCCTGTCGGCCAATCTTGTAACTATATTCATGTTAAAGCACTAGCATTTCCATCTGAAAGTCAATCTGTTTCATTTCGCTGAAGTGTAAACAAAAAACTTTCTTTGTGGTCAACCCATGTCAACTCTTGAACCAACAAAACAATATTTGTGGGAAGCACTTCTTTTTTGTTTTAATTTGAAGAAAAGTGCAGCTGATAAAGATCGATTGTTGGGTGAAGCATATGGGAAGCATGCTCCATCAATGAAAACATGTAAGTACTGGTTCCGCTGTTTTAAAAGTGGCAGTTTTGACACCAGTGACAAACCCATGCCAAACTCCAGAGGAGCTCACCAAAACCTTGGGAATGACTCACAAGCAATTTCAAAGTGTCTCAAGACCATGGGTATGGTACAAAAGCAAGGAAATTAGTAAGTGTCAATCAGTCAATATAATGACTCTGACTGCCATACCGGTGAGCCTGGGTTCGAATCTCAGAGAAGGCATGGATGTTTGTAAGCATATTAGTGTCTTTGGGGCAGAGGGTGCTTAAAATACATGGTGAGATGAAAGTCCTATTGAGAAGTTCGTGGTAAGGGAAGATGGGTGGTAGACTTTTGGACTGTTTTTTCAAGGTGCTTTACAGAAGTGAGGGCCTAGCTTCTACTTGTACCTGTCCCCAGAAGTAGAGAGTTGAGAAATCTGCAAAGAAAAAAGTACTTCGTTGTTATTATGATTGCCGTATTTTAAGCATTAAGTTGGTGCCAGGATTATTATCAAGTTCATGTTTACTTGTGACATACTTGTGGTTGCCATGTTTTTTTTTTTTTTTTAATATGCCGTCAGAAACATTTTCTCATCCTAAGGATTTTCATCACATGAACTCTGCAAGATAAAACTCATGATAACGATGACCCATGCTTTGTTGATTTTTACTTTTCTATTTTGCAAATCATCATAGTTTTTCTGTATATGAGCCACTGCTTTTGGATAAAAAAAAATGAAATTAATTGTTCAAAGTAAAATGTCTCTTTCGTTTTCAGTGTCTTCTGTTTTATATGCTTGCTAACACTCTGATTCTATCATCAATTCCTTTTGTAGATGACAGATTATTTTTGTCATGAGGGTAATTACCTCTTTATTTGGAACATGAGCGAGAAAGAATTCACTAGTTTCTTTCATAATCTTCCAAATACCTAGTATTGTAAATGCACCTTGCCAGCTTTATTTTTCACCCATACCAACAGATTTTTGTTTACATCCACAACTTTTCAGAACCACCTGTTCTCTTATTTGGTTCCTGGATTAGGTATGGAAAATACAACTCTTTCAGGGAGAAAAAAAAAAAAAAAAAAACTACTCCAATCAATAGTTACTCTTGTGTACAGGCTGAGTTGCTTCTTCATTGCTTAACTGATGTCAGTTCTGCTGAATAGTAAATAAAAAATAAACGGTTGCACTGCATTTGCAACTTTTCATTGTGCACCTCCAAATGTTTTTGTTAATGTGTAATGTTACTGAATAACCATTTTTGTGTATATATATATGAGGTAAAATTCATTTTTCTTAAAATATATATATATATATATATATATGTATTTAATTTTCCTCACTTTTTGACTCGGAGCTCTTCTTGTGATGAGAAAATTATGAGTGATCATGATTTGTTAACATTTATTTGAAAAAAAAAATAACATGGTTTACTTACAGCTCTTGGCTTCATGAGCAGACTATAAATTAATATTGTTAGGACTATAGGCTGTGTTGGCAAATTCGTCAATAATATTGCTGCATTTACACAAGAGCCTTAACAATAAGGAAGTACCAAGAAAAAGTTATATGCACTTTTATGGGATGAAAAAGTGTGACCTCCTTTTTGATTATATGTCACTGAATACAATGATATTACATATTCATTAAGTACATACTACTTCCTTAGCTATGACGAACAGTAATGGCAATATGTTGCGACAAGTGTAGTTTAAAAGTGTTGCTTTTGCATAACAGCAATGTTGCATACAAAGCTTCCTAGACTACTGTTCAACAATATATTTCCAACTTCTTCCTTATCCACTATATTGACTAAACCTGGCCTAAGTGAGCAATTCATTTCAAAAACTGAAATAAAATTCACATTGTTCGTGTTACTGCAACAGTGGTGATTAAAATGATGCCCTCAGTGAAATGTTTGAAGGTTGTAACCAAAAAAGTATTATTATTACTTCCCTACTGGTTTCCAGCACATAATGGATTGCCATGTAATGCATTGAAGCCATGGAAATTGCCATGGAAATGCATTGAAGTCAAGGGGAACTATATAGAAAAACATAATTATTTTTCGTTTATTTTGTACGAATGCAATAAATAGGCTTAAAACTTCTAATACCTCTGAAGATGCTTGCAAAATTACCAGTTGTCTGGTATACAAAGAAGACACTTTGTATACCAGACAGCTGTGTAGCTATGTATGCTTCTGGTATACTCTGTGAATGTAGATTGAATATGGTGCTTCTTTATGCTAAAACTTATGAAAAAATCATAAATTTTATCAAAAGTATTGATAAGGTTAGCAGAGCTAGGTACAGAATAGGGGAGGGACTATTTAAATTTATTTTATGGCAGTTGTTCACTTCTATAAATCCAAATATTTATCGAGAAACCAAAATCATCGGTCGTCTTTGATGGATATTTATAGAAGCTACATACAAGATTTGGTTTGTGTGCTCTTTTGCAAGATGAAAAAAAGTTTGGCTGAAAATCCCAACATACCATATGTTGCAAGTAGTGATGGATTGTCATTTTATCACAAGGTTGGTCTGGATTTTTCCACTATAATTTCCTAAGACAAATCATCTTCTATGTGTGACAGTTTTCTAACTAATAAATATTTTGTATTAACTTTATTAGCACAGAAGGGTATCATAAAATTGACTCATTTCTTATGATGAGACTGAGCTGATAAATAAGTCAGGGATCCATAAGGAATTTCTGAAATAAGCTTGATATGGTATTAAGACTTCATTTTATGATAATTTACAAATTTTTTTTATGAATCAAAAATTTAAACTTTTATCTTCTTTGCATTACATTTTTGTTATCATAGATTTCTTTTCGTTTAGGATGGTGGCTCATTAGATCTAGTCCTAAAGAAGGCTGGCCGTATTCCAGAACCAATTTTGGGCAAAGTTACAATTGCTGTAAGTTCATTAATTTTCAGTAACTAGAAATTTGTATCTGTGTTGAATAATTGCACAAGGCATTTATTTTTATTATAATAGGAAAAAATATCTGGAATAATTTAATTATCTGTAAACAAAGATAGGGTTTCCATGTATGAAATTCTGGGCATGGTTTTCTGTCTTTTATTTTGCTCATATCTGAAAACTTCAGATTACAGTCTATTATCTCAAAAAAGAGTACAGTACAAAGTGTGTTATCCGGACTCGTCGGGACTTCGGCGATTCCGGATTAGGGGTTTTTCCGGATCATAGATCATAAATTTAAATCTGGTAAGATGTCATGCAGAAATTCTAAAATTAAAAATATGAAACCGTAATTTATGAAATAAAGAGCAATTATGATCTAAAGGGTATCAAAATTTACAAAAAAAAGCTTAATATTTATTTGTTTACTTTATTAAACATTTCTTTCAATGTAAGTTGTTTAAGTTGCTTCATTTTTTTTTTGTGCTAATACTTTTTCTTTAATTCTGTAAACAGACATAATTTCTTGTTCAGTTACAAATTTCCACTCTTCAAGTCCTGTAATTGCTGTGTCGAGAATACCGACTAACTTGTCAGTGTAAATTTTTTCATTTTCAATAACCTCTCTGTCACTTTCTTCGCTATCGAAAGCGGTATTTTCTGGATCTAGAACCATACCTACAGATTTCGCTGTCCATTAATTGATTGATGATTGGGGCATTGTTGTCGCAATGAAAAACTTCTGTTATATCATCTTCATTTATTACCGCTTCTCTACATTTCTTTACAAAATTTAATAACTGGAAAATTTCACCTTTAGTTTGCGATGTCCGAAAAATTTCAAATTTGCGTCCTCACCATAAAATGTAGCTGGCCATAAATTATGCCAAGCACTTTTTAACATATCTGGAGACACATCCTCCCAACGCGCATGCGTAAAGCATACAAAAAAAAAAGTTTGTGGCTTTTGAGGTTCGGATTATAGATCATTCCGGATAATGGATGTCCGAATTACGGACTTTGTACTGTATATGCTTGAAATTTAAAAAACAAATAAAAAAGTATAAAAATTCATACAAATATTTTGCAGCTTTTCTTATAAAAGTGATATCTGCTATTTCTAATTCATGGAGGAAATTTTTATTTTTAATCCCTTAACATAGTTTTCTGTATGGTGTATGGGCTACTCAAGGTTGGCTCCAACTGGTTTGCCAGTACAGCACATAGGAATCAATACTTTCTGTGCTTCCTTTTCTGATTTGCCCCTGTTTTTAATACTTACATAAATGAACTATCTAGTTTTAGTAACTTTTAATAGATGGGGGGGGAGCAAATTGTCCATGTTATTGCAAAGATTTCATTCAATTTTTCTTTGTTGAACTAGAATTTTTCCCACCTCATGTAATTTTTTGAATTGAAACTGTTACAACAGGCAACAGCCTTATGCCATTCAAGAGATGACTAGGATGGAAACACTTTATTTCCATAAAAAGAGCTAGATTGTGAATAAAATGTTTTATGTGTGCTAGTTGGTATCTGGTTATGTATGATCGGTTATAATTTACACAGAAAAAGATAAAATTCTGAAGACTAGGTATTCTGATCTTCGCACTTCACCACAAGTTGTCCTAACAATGATGGATCCATTGCTTCATAAAGGATACTGTCTTCCTACAGACAAGTTTTATTCTTCAATGGAATTAACAAATAAACTTATTTCATGTCAAGCAGATGCATAGCCACACTAAACTGAAAAGAAGTACTAAAGAAAATGCAGCACGAAAACAAAAAATCATTCTTTTTAGAGAGGAAAACTTATGGTGATGAAATAGATAAATTAAAAAAAAAAATTCATGTTCTGTTCGTAATTCATAATACTCAAAAGGAACAAATTAAAGTGCACTCAGAAACAAAAAACAAAACAAAACAACAACAACAACAAAAAAAAAAAAAAAAAAAAAAAACCTTAACTCATAATGGATTATAATAATACTATGTTTTGTGTAGATCACATGCATCAAAATTTAAGAACTTTTGAAAGTATCAAAAAAAAAAAAAAAAAAAAAAAAAAAAAAGAGAGAGAGAGAGAGAGAAAATACTACAAAAAGATTATTTACTCATATTTTTGATATCGCTATATGGAATTCATATGTTGTGTATTATTAGAAAAGAGGAAATAGTACACAGTTAAAATTCAAACATGATAATGTTGACAACATTATTAAGAAATACCATTCTGGAATAAATTTCAAAAGTGGATGACCAGGTTCTGAGCCTAAACCTCTAAGACTGACAGAAAGGTACTTTACAGACATTATTGCCCCCACTGGTAAGAAACTTAGATGTGCAAGGCAGTGTGCAGTTTGCTGTTTGCAAAGAAATGAGAATGGAGAGAAAATCTTAAAGAAGACTCATTATTTCTCTCTAATGCCATGTAGGACTGTGCATTGCACCATGCTTGAAATTGTACCTCCTTCTTTAATTATGAATATTAAAACAGCAGTCTAACTGCATATAATTTTCGTATACTGGCACTTTAGTTAAGTAGCAGTAGAATAGAATATATACAGTCAAAAGTCTTTAATCTGGACTCATCGGGACTTCGGCAATTCCGGATTAGGGTTTTTTTCCGGATTATAGATCATCAGTTTAAATCTGGTAAGATGGTATGCAGAAATTATAAAATTAAAAATATGAAACTGTAATTTATGAAATAAAGAGCAATTATGATCTAAAGAGTATCAAAATTTACAAAAAAAAGCTTAATATTTATTTGTTTATTTTATTAAACATTTCTTTCAATGCGTGCATGCATAGTGCATGCATTACACATAGTCAAAATTAAAAATTGCAACCAGAAAACTATTTGATGTGTATTCGTGATATTTATAATGACGATGTATTTGATTTAAATCATATCAAAGACGGAGTACATCGAGATGAAATACTACATATAGTAAGGAATTATAAGCCGAATAAAATAAAAACATCTGTCCTGAAGATAAAGATAGTGCTGACAAATCAACTTGCAATTCGTTGCGTGCCGCGACGTCCCCTGCCTCCCTTTCCCGCAGAGCAGCGTGAAATTGATAAACAGATTTCGGAATGGTTAGAGAAACAAAGGATGTGCCTTTATCCATTTTTTGCAGCAATTCCATTTTTTGTTTGATGGTTATCGAAACATGCTTTCGTTTTGTAGATCCTTTGGCAGCTCCAGAATCGGAAATTCTTTTTGACATAGTCGAAAGTTTAAGCTTAGTTTTATAAAATTGCAGTAACAGTATGCAAATAATAATAAACCGGATCCAATTAGAAGATTAAGGAACAACGCAATCTGCAACATTAACTGAATTAGATAATTTTAGCTTAGCTTATACCGTCCGTATGCATTAAATGCGCATGCGTAAACGTATTATGGGCATGCGCACACGCATATTCGCAGCCGTAAAGGTCTTACATGCATGCGCAGAAAGTTTGTAGCTTTGAGGTCCGGATTATAGATCATTCTGGATTATGGGTGTCTGAATTAACGAGTTTTGACTGTACAAGATATTATTAAAATATGCAGATACAATAAAATACCATTTTGTATGATTCGCCTTTTTTACAATGATGTGCATAATGCTTGTTCCAAAATGTTAACACTGTTATTTATAAATGTAGATAAATTATCATTTTGTGTGATTTACTTTTTTACATTGATGCACAATGCATTTTTATAATACCAAACATAAACAAAAAAATATCTTAACCTTTACCGATTAGTAGCTTTGATTTTTCTTTGTAATGAGTAGCATTTTATAGTTAACTGCTGTGAGGTGTTAAAACAAAATTATGTAGAATTTTTCAAGTTTAATATTTAATTTATTTTTCCAGGTTTTGAAAGGATTAAATTACTTGCGAGAAAAGCACCAAATTATGCATAGAGGTATTTATCCCCCTTTTTTCTTTCTATGTCTTTTTTCCCCCTGACATCTATATTGTGTCATATACATACAGTGTTTGAAAAGGTGATTATATTTTCTTAACTACAGCTTTTAGACATGTACCTCAAATTATTAAATTTGCCTTTTGGAAAAAGAAGGAATATATAATGCATAAAAGTAATAAGTATATAATGCATTTAAAGTAGTTGATTTTAATTTCTCGCCATCACTTTTTCAAGGATTAATATTGGCCAAAAATTCAGAAAATTTCATGAAAGTGTCCTAAATTTAGCTTCTTTATAATTGTTGTAATTTTTTCTTCTTCACCTTTTTTTATTAAATCATGCAGTGTATGCTCTTATGAAAATCTTTCAGTATATTTGTTTTTAAAAAAGACTTTATTTGGCAAACATCAAATGACTGGATAAATTAAAAAATAAATTTTTTGATTTACCAGGCTTAAAATGATTTTTTGTTTCATAAGAGCAATAACTGTGATAAACACCCATGTTAAATTAAGAAAAAAGTTAATGTGTCATGTCTGAGAAATGGCTAATTTTTGGATATGTGATTTATTTTGGCTGATTCTGGCGATCTTAAATCTGTTTCTAACACTATCATGTTGAAAATCTGAATATATTTATGAGTGTTATGAAAGGTATACAAAGCAGAAAGCATTCCTTGATAAAATATGCATTTGTGAGAAAGATAACAACTAGCTGTATTTAGTAAACAAGTTTCTGATCACTTCAAGGATCAAATTTGGATGTTATTATTTTGTGACATTTCTGTCTTGCCATGCAAACTCCATGCATATATTTAGCAACCTCTTATGGTGAATGACATGTTTCTTACTCTTTACTTTTGAAAAACAGCTTGATATATTAAATTTGGTTTAGCTCTGGGTTAGTGTTTCCTGCATTGCTGAATTGGGGAATTTTGATTACTTGTTAAAACTCTGATAAATGCAAATGCATAAACCCTTAGCTCTCGGCTAAATGGGCAAGTATGAAAAAATATTATATTCTGTTTAAAGTAATGAATAATCAATATATACTAAAACTACATGCTGAATGTTCTCTTTGCATGAAAGTAATGAAAGAAAAAATTTGGAGCAGTGGTGAAAAAATTTGGGAAGCCAATAAAGTACTTACTGTTTTAAGTTGGAATAAAATTGAACTTTTCCGATTAGATGACCAAATAAAATGCAGGATTATGTAAAGTAGCACTAAATATTCAGAATGAAGGAATGCTGTTGAAAAATTACTCACTGGAAAACTGAAACTATCAGTCGCTAAAAGTACACTGATGGATAGTTGCCAAGGGTGGATTACAGACAGCTAAAAAAGGTAGTGTGGTTGGATACTGAGTGAAGTAAAATAACCATAGTGCTAGGACATAACAAGAAATATAATTTATTGTGCTCTGAAATCAAGAAGGCTTTGAAAAGTGTTGACAAGGTGGTCATTTTGTGCTGAATACTTAAAAGTGAAAAAAATGCAATTACCGTTTGCAGGTATAAGTGTCAGTATAAGATAAGGCAACCATGGATCCAACAATTCTATTTGTTTGAAAGATTCCACACGTCACGCTTTGCACAAAATTATCAAGCTACTGCTGAGGTAATTTATTCCATTCCTCTGTCAGTGCATGGATGAGAGTGTCAACCAGCAAGACTCCTCCCCAAAGGATCTCGAACATTTTCAGTGAGATTCAGATCTGGAGAATGTGTTGGCCATACGAAGCATTGAATATCCATGCTGTCTAGACACTTCTAGACAGTGACAAGGACACGTGTTGTCATCCATGGAAAATTTATCACCAACAGCATCATGGAACATGCAAACTTGAGGCAGCAGAACATCATTAATGTATCGTTGGCAAGTCATAGTCCCAGTTGGAAGCATACAGAGCGATGTATGGCCATTGATCATGATCTACCATGAACTATCATGATGTAGAATATCAGTCCCTTTCCTGGACTATATGCAGTAGCACTCGCATGCGGCATCATTTGTCATTAACAATCAAATGAGAGATTCAACCTGCTTTTATCTGAGAATAGAATCCCAGTCCTCTTCCCTGCAGTTGCTATGCCGACAACACCATTGAAAATGGATGGAACGGTAACACCTAGACAATGGAATGCACACAACATGACAGTCGTATGGTCCTTCTTAGTACAAACGTCTGGCTACAGTTTTTTTGTGAGATTCGCTTGCCAGTAGCAGCAATTAACTAATTTGCTAACTTAGTAGCTGTGCTGCCACTGGTTCCTTTTTCTGATAGAACTATGTACATATCATCTGCAGGCATTGTACTGTGACCATGGCCTCCTCCTTGACATTCACTACACATTCCATTTGTTTGGCATAATTTCCAATGCCTTGAAACAATGCTGTGGCTGACATCGAACTCACCATTTTTTTGCTCTTCTTCAATCTTATTAATAATATTGTACTGCATAAAATCATCTAAGTTATGTCAGAAAACTTACTGAAAATTGCAAGTTCGTCAGTTGATTCTTTCTCATTAAATTTTGTTTTTGAACCACAATGGTCCATACGCATCAAATCCTTTATATCTCTTATCAGCGGTAGCTCGTGATGAAGAACTTTGGCAACACAGCATTTGCATATGCACAGCATATCTTACTGTACCTCGTACTTATGTTAATTTCCACATTTTCCTGCCTTCCATTTTGTGTTTGCTATCACTGCTATTGTCATCCATCCAAAGCAGTTGTCCACCAGTGTAGAATAGATGAAATCAAATTTTCTGAAATAATGCTTTTTGCAGCAATTAATGAAATGTTTTCAGTGTTTAAAATTAAATGGCATATTCAGTAAGAAAATAGCATAAATTCTGCACTGTGCTAGAGCATTGATTCTAAAATTTGAAAATTTAAAGAAAAAAAAAAAAAAAAAAAAAAAAAATAGACATATAGCTTGGAAAATATTTTGGTCCATACATATTAGCCTGTTGACAGTAAAAGTGGGCTAAGTTGCACTTCTTGTCAACAGCTTCACTGTCAATGGGATAATATGTAAATACCAAATTTGTCGATCATTCTGAAAAACATCTGATGTGGAACTTTGGAGAAAATTCTTCAAAAAAATTCCTATATTTTGATAGTATTTTAAAAATGGGGAGTTTGCTGTGGAAAAGTACACAGCATCAATTTAAAATGTTTATTAATGTAAACTATATTTTTTCACAAAATGAGTTGAAATGAAAAAAATCTTGGAGGGGGGATTTTGATATTATTTTAATGTACAAGCTTCATTCTTCACAGTAGTACATGTGCTATTATTTTTTTAATTATTAAATATGTTGTTGCAATATATTATTAAATATGTTGCAGTTGAAATATAAGCCTGTTTGCTGAAAAAGTAAAAAAATTTGATTCTGTTAAGTAATTTAAAAGTTTATTTTGAAAAAATGTTCTATTCTATTTTCAACTCTATGACAACTTGGTATAAGAGGCAACCAATCGCAGTAGAGCAGACATCAGTTGATGGTTTCAATGAGTCAGCTACACATTTACACATGTGTGACTTTTCCTTCCCTAATTGGCTATGGCTTAAACTCTTTTAAACAGGTGTGAATGGCTTGATGACTTTTGTGCATTAAACTACAAAGCTTGTTATGACAAAGTCTTTGTCTGACTTTGTCTCCCAATACATCAAAAGGGCAAATTCTTCTCTTAAAATGCATTTTGAGTGTCCTCTAAATTTTTTTCTAAAATTTTGCAATAGTTCTGTCTTAACGCAATTTTTTTCTGACTCTGAACCCTCCCTTTTCCTTACATTGCATTTTATTTATTTATAAGTTTTGATATGTTTGTTTATGCTAAAAGATATCACTTGTACATAAAAATTTAATATGTTCAGTGTTTTATGTAAAGAAAAGTTTATACATAATGTAAAGATGCAAATAAGGAATTCCTTTCTATAATGCTACAAAAATTAGATACAGTGATGCCCTGCTAATGTTTGCCATCTCTTATAGGATAGTGTTTGTTGTGTAAATCATTCATTATGTGGGATATTCTTTCCTATAGGTTGGAGCTGAAATAATGTTAATCTGATCCCGATCTAAAATAACAAAATATCATAAGAAAATTCCAGAAACTGTTAGAAAAACCACCAATTTTGAAAATACTGTAAAATTATTAATTTATTAGTCATAAAAGATATTGACTTAAATAATGTGTTTCTGCATCATCTTGCAGTTTTCCATTGGAGGTGAGTCTTTGTCTTTCTTGCCTTTGGTTTTCTGGGAAATTTAGGTTACTTGAAGTTGTCTAAAGTAAATATTTTTCTCCCTCTTCAAGGTTTTTTAAATTAGTGCATGGCCTTCTCAGTGAACAGAATTTCACTCTGTTCATCTTAGGCTGATTAGAATGCACTACTTATCTCTTCTCATTTCAGAAGAACTTACTAGTTGCAGTAAGCACAGACCTTTATTGTTATCACAAGAAGAATCTTAACTCAAATATTCAAAATCTGGGATTCCTCATGCTCCTGTTTAAGGAAGGCATGCAAATTCTTAGTGATAATATAAAGAACTACTTGTTCACATATCTGCTCATTTTCCTTTCTTTTTTTTTTTTTTTTTTCCTTTGTAATCTGCAGGGAGTCTTTTCTGTATTTAAGTTCCTTTATAAAGAGAATGTAAAACAAATTTAATAAAAACGTAAAATAAAACAAATGTAATTTAACATTTCATAGCTAATGGTGTTTTTAAGCTATAATAAAACTTATCAGAAATGTACAAAAAAAATTTTCTTACAGTCATTTTAAAAGGACTAATGTTTCAGTACTGCAAATATTTCAATGGAATATGGTATGTTGTATTCAATGGTATGTTAATAATGTGGTTCATATTTCAAGAATCCAGTTCATTATACAGCACTATTTTAAGTTCACATGTTTATTATGCAGGATGTCTGTTGTTTGAGGTGCTTCTGATACAAAGGATCACTGTATAGTGAAATTATTCCCTCAGTTGCCTATGTCAGTTTTTTAAACCTACATTAAAGAAATTGATGTAGTGTTTAAATTTTTCAGTTTGAAATCAAATTCATCACTATGTATTGACTAACTTCTGCATAAAATAAAAATAATGAATAAATAAAAATAATAAAGAACTATTAACATGCAACTTTTTTGTAGCCGTAAATTCATTTAGAGTTGCAGAAGATGTGTATTAAAATAGCAGTTTCTCCTTTGAGTTTTGTATTGTTGCTTGCATGCAGGTTCGTAATAGGTTAAGTGCACAAGTCTGTTAATAGGTTAATAAAAATTTATTTTTATCGAAAGAAATATTTCAGAACTTGGGAATTTTCCACAGTAATATTCGTACAAGTGTTTGCAGTATAATAACACAACGCAATGCAAAGAGCATATAAAGGGAAAGGTAAGTCAGATTTATCTAAGTTTACGTGGAGCTGCAACTCGCAACAATAATAACTAAGCAACTGAACTGGGATGCTGTCTGTCTCAGTCCGGGCTTTTGTAGTTTTCAAAAAGAGATGTTTAGCTGCTGAGGTATTTCTAGTACTTTCTGCTTCTGGAAATTACTGGAAAGCAATAAGAGAGTCACATTACAGTTACAGCTAACATAGTGATCAATTATATTTATTCAATTTCAGTACATATTACGGTAATGCAGGAACCTGACATAAAGCCGCCAGTGGCGACATTTGGTAGTTTCTCGCCAAATTTGGTGACAAAATAAGTTGCCAAAACCGTTGTTAGCCTGGCAATATTCGGCAAATTACCAAGATACCCATTTAAATGCCCCTGCGCCTGTATTCTTACTTTTTTTGCATAGTGTCTTAAAATTTGTTTCACGTTACATTACGCAGAAAAATACAACAGTTTCGCATGTAATTGCACTAAAGTCATCTACCTATATACAAAATTCGTAACTTTGTGTTATATAGATATACTAAAGCTAAATTGAAATAAAACTGACAGCCAAAACAAAAGGAAGATATTGCTAGATATCCAATAAGAATGTAGTCTGTATTTTTTTTATTTAGAACAGTGTATATGTGTGATAAATATGAAATTTATGAAAGAATAATTAGTCTATAGTTATTAGACTCAAACTGTTCTATAAGAAAACGAAAATTGAAAAGAAATTTCAGCTTGTCATTGAGCAAAAACATAAACTTTTTCAGTAAAGTGTGGAATAAAAAGTTGTGTTTATTGTAACAAAAATATGGAATTTAGAAAAATTATCTGAGATAAATTCGAAAATTTTAAGATGAATTCCCTCCACCAGATGATAATCCAGGAAAAGTATCTGTCTTAATAATATATAGAATTAGTTATCTTTGTATCCATGTTTCTTTTGATAATGTACAATGTTAAATGTGTTTCTTTAATGGTGAATGCTATTAGATTATCATGTACCATCATAACTGTGAGATTAAAAAAGGGGGGAAAATGAGAAAAATTGTGAAAATCTAATTTGCTAAATAGATTCCTGTTTATTTTTGTTAGCGAGAGAGTTGATCTTTGTTTTAAAAAATTAAATTGTTGCTTTATATGGATTTGGATTTAGTGCTACTTTTTTTCTGAACACCGTTCCCCCCCCCATACTTATGTATTCTTTCTAAGCACTAACAATCATTTCTGGAACTTGATATTTTAATGAAAAAAATCTAGTTTATCAGTTAGTTAAATTTTTGCTCAAATGCATGAAATCTTTGATGAAATATTAGAAGTCAGTTGTCTGGCAGAGAAGTTGATTATGTGTATTTTGCTATTTTAAAATTCTATTTTTCTTTCTTGTAATTTTATCTAAATAATACAAAATATAACTATAACATTCTGATTTAATTATTTATTTATTTATTTTATTTATTTTTAAAATTACAGATGTAAAACCTTCTAACATTTTGGTGAATTCTCGAGGGGAAATAAAGATATGCGACTTCGGAGTGAGTGGTCAATTAATTGATTCTATGGCTAACTCATTTGTTGGGACTAGGTCTTATATGTCGGTTAGTAGCGAATTTTACTTTTCTACTTATATTTATTTTTAGATGTAAATTGTATCATTCTCTGCTTTTAATTTACAGATTTTTCTGAACATCTGCATGTCTCCAAATTGGCATTTAAATTCTTATTAATCATTTTTACTAATATTTTACTATTAGAATACAAATATATCTTATATTTGTTTTATTATATCTATATTTGAAATATAAGATATATTTGTCATTGAAATTTTGATAAAGTACATTGCAGCTGGATAAAGCCATTGATAAGAAACTATATTAATGCTTTGTGGATGGCTGCTGCATATATGCTGTAGATAGGGACTTACCTAAGAAGATGATGCTAGGTACGTGTGGCAAAACAGTATCTTGCATTGCAACATGTGTGTCATTCATTGCAAGATCCCATGCAGCCAACATAAATTGCACGTTATTATATCTTATATTTGAAATATAAGATATATTTGTCATTGAAATTTTGATAAAGTACATTGCAGCTGGCTAAAGCCTTTGATATGAAACTATATTAATGCTTTGGATGGCTGCTGCATATATGCTGTGGATAGGGACTTAAATAAGAAGATGATGCTAGGTACGTGTGGCAAAACAATATCTTGCATTGCAACATGTGTGTCATTCATTGCAAGATCCCATGAAGCATACATAAATTGCACGTAAAATATACATTCAATTTACCTTTTTATAAAATGCTTACAAGTTGAATGTAAAAATATCAAAAAATGTGTCCAGAAAAAAGTAGATATTCGCATATATTTTTATATTACAATATGCATAAGTTATACATAAAATTTAGGTATATTCATGCAAATGATCATGCTTTATTCATAACTTTTACATAAAATATATGTAAATTTTAATGATTTACATGTATTTTTGGTGAAAATTTACATATCTTTATTACATATATATATATAAATCTTCCCAATTTTCTTCCTTATATTTTTAGTGAAAATTTACGTAAGTCTGCACTATTTTTGTCCTTAGTTAACATATGTATTTTTCATAGAAATTTATGTTAATTTTAACTGTTTTTTTCACCTGCATATAGGTATAATAATTTTGGTAAAAATTCAGGTAAATCTCTTGTACTTTTTAATGTGCATCAAGCTGCATTTTTGGCAAAAAATTTGCGTAAATTGCGTACTTTCTTACTAAATCTACTACTTCATTTATACGGACATTTTTCTTAAAATCTCGGGTATACAAACATTTATTTAGTACCATAGTGCTACAATTACATGCAGATAATATATGCACATTATGAATATTAAAACAGCAGTCTAACTGCATATAATTTTCGTATACTGGCACTTTAGTTAAGTAGCAGTAGAATAGAATATATACAGTCAAAAGTCTTTAATCTGGACTCATCGGGACTTCGGCAATTCCGGATTAGGGTTTTTTTCCGGATTATAGATCATCAGTTTAAATCTGGTAAGATGGTATGCAGAAATTATAAAATTAAAAATATGAAACTGTAATTTATGAAATAAAGAGCAATTATGATCTAAAAGAGTATCAAATTTACAAAAAAAAGCTTAATATTTATTTGTTTATTTTTATTAAACATTTCTTCAATGCGTGCATGCATAGTGCATGCATTACACATAGTCAAAATTAAAAAATTGCAACCAGAAACTATTTGATGTGTATTCGTGATATTTATAATGACGATGTATTTGATTTAAATCATATCAAAGACGGAGTACATCGAGATGAAATACTACATATAGTAAGGAATTATAAGCCGAATAAAATAAAAACATCTGTCCTGAAGATAAAGATAGTGCTGACAAATCAACTTGCAATTCGTTGCGTGCCGCGACGTCCCCTGCCTCCCTTTCCCGCAGAGCAGCGTGAAATTGATAAACAGATTTCGGAATGGTTAGAGAAACAAAGGATGTGCCTTTATCCATTTTTTGCAGCAATTCCACTTTTTGTTTGATGGTTATCTAAACATGCTTTCGTTTTGTAGATCCTTTGGCAGCTCCAGAATCGGAAATTCTTTTTGACATAATCAAAAGTTTAAGCTTACTTTTATAAAATTGCACTAACAGTCTGCAAAAATTAATAAACCGGATCCAATTAGAAGATTAAGGAACAATGCAATTTGCAACATTGACTGAAATAGATGATTAAATAATTTTAGCTTAACTTATACCGTCTGTTATACATTAAACGCGCATGCATAAACGTATTATGTGCATGTGTAAAGGTATTATGCGTTTATGCATGCGCGAAGAGCTTGTAGCTTTGAGTTCCGGATTATAGATTATTCCGGATTATGGACATCCGGATTAAAGACATTTGACTGTATATATAAGACATAGTTAAACTTTTATAGAAGCCAAAAAGTTATTAAGAAAATAAATTTTCTAAGAATTTATGAGTTTAATATTGTAGAATAAATAACAACTAATAATACAAATATAACTAAATAATATCATTACTCACCTGTTGGAGACCGAAGAAAAAATATTTTACTTACGATCATGATAATTTTACAAAAACAGTGTTCAGTTAACACACATTTCTATACCATATCAGATTTATGAACAGTAAATATTTTGTTGTTCTTAATTTTCAGAAAAGCAAAGAGTTTAAGCTGACATTTTACAGTTGCAAAGTTGTCCTAAAATGCATTAAAGCAAAAAAAGAATACCTTGCAAATGTGCATAATATGGTTAAAGTTTCATCTAAATATAAAGATCATTAATGTTATGCTTAAGTTTTAGAAATATTTAGAGTGAAAATTTTCATAATGCCAGACATGTAACTTAGTAACACGATCAATAGCACATTTTGGTTTGAGAAGATCTAGAATGAAGTATGATGATACAACAGTGCAATATCTTCATTTGCCAAAAGAATTTAAGGATGAAAGTTTTGGTAAAAGTATTAGGATGTTTAAAAATGGTGTAGTTCAAAACCACAGAAGCAATTAAGAGGGAAATTTATAAATTGACATTTACTGTTGTTTCAAAAAGAATATTGGCATAAAATTATAACAAATATTTGCCAGAATTCAGTAAAGGTTTGCTTGTGCCATCTAATATGATTTCAATTTACACAAGTAAACTGATGTTTCAGCACACAATGATAACTAAAATTTTCAGGTTCTTTGATTATAAATAATTTAAATTACAAGAGTGGTGACATTTATGATTACTGTTTACTTGTACCTTTTATGCTTTCTGTTCCAATTTCTTGTATCTAAGTACTAAAAACATATTTATTTAGGAAGTTTTATTCATTCAGTTATTGTTTACATTTATGTTTATTTTAATATTTTGATAAATCAGAAGCCAATACACAATTAAAATGTTATATCAGTAAATTCCTTCAGGATCACACTACAGATCTTGAATTAAGATAACAGTGGCATCTAACCTTACGATATAAAATATTTTAAGATGTATACATTCATATAAATTCTGAGTAGAATAAGAAAGCAAACAGAGTTAGGATAAATAAAAATAAAATCAGAAATGATACTGCAAACAAGAAGAATCGAGAAGTCAAGTAGAATAAAAACAAGCCTAGTTTTTGAAGTCTTCCTTCAATAATCAGTTTCAGTTGAAAAGTTTTATAACATCTTCAAGTAGGGTTAATAATTGTCACTCTGCAAATTTCATATTTTATGTACAGCAAATATTTATTCCAAGCTCTGTATGTAAGTGATCCAGTAAAAAAATGCAGTTATAGCTTGAAGGATTTTCTTTATTAAATAAATGAAAGAATTCCAATGTAACATTAATTTACGATGCAATAATACCATATCAAGTTTTTTCCCTTTGCAGTTTGACACTGTTATTTTTGAAAAGCCCATCTAAAATACTTACTGTCTGATGTAAAAAAAAAGCAGAAATATTTGTAGCAACTTTAGTATGATGCTAATTATTAATAAATTTTCTAAAAATTAACCCTCAGACTTCTGCGTTTACACAAACATATAATTCTTCATAGTGTTAATGTATGCATTGGCTTACAGGTACTGAAAATACATGCTCAAAAATGTAAGTAAATATCTTCATGAAAATTATATGTTTTAGTGGCTAATAACAGTTACCAAATTTTAGTTTTAACATATTAAATCACTTTAATTTATGGTGTTATAATGCCATATCAAGTTTTTTACCTCTGCAGTTTGACACTGTTATTTAAAAAAAAAAAAAAAAAAAAAAAATACTTAACTGTCTGATGTAAAAATTGCAGAAATTTTTTAGCAGCATTAGTATGATACTAATTATTAATAAATTTTCTAAAAAATAACCCTCAGACTTACGAATTCACAGTCATGTAATTCTCCATAACTGTTAGTTTATGCATTGGCTTGGAGATACTTCAGATTAATTAAATGCACAAAAGTGTAAGTAAATGTATTCTAGAAATTTATATATTTTAGTAGCTAGTAACAGTTACTGAATTTTAGTTAACATATTAAATCGAATCTGTTCTTAGTTGGCAGATCCATTAATTTTGGATAAAATATGCAAGAAATCTTCCTAATGAGGAGATTTATGGAGAATATGTTAAAAGAAAGAAATCATACTGACATTACATTTAGCAGAAACTGGGAAAACTCCATGTGGCTGGCCTGTTTATGAAGAATAAAGCTTATGTTGAAATACCAGTTCTTGGGAGAAACCTGGTTGATTGTGCCCCTGCACCCAGCAACATCTAGTTTTGCATTAGTAAAGGGGTTTTTGCTTTGTTAACAACAATGAGTTGAGTGTATTGCTCAACTTATTGACTACAGCTGATATGATGAAGATTTATAAAAACTGGCTTCCTAACTGCTGTATATAGTATAAAAGCTTGCTTCAATTAGTGTCTCAGTGCTGTAAGTGCTTGTATACAATAATGACCCCAAGGTATGTAAGTTCTCTCAAAATGAAAAGCTTTTATTCCACTAGCCTTTGTTAATTTCTTACTTATTCTCGCTATTATGCATTTCCGATATAATTCAATGAAGAACTGAGCATAAAAATAATGATGAAAGCTTATTCATTGCATATAAATTAAGTGTTCTTTTCCTCTCAATAAACTCATTTTTATACAACATTTACACATTTTTTCTTCAAAAATGCTATTAGATTATTTATTTATTATTTTTTATATATAATCAAACTAGAACATGGTAGAATCTGATAAAGAAGCCAAATCAAATGCATTGAGTTTCATTTTCAGGCTGTAATACTCAGACTAATTTATATCATTATCACTTCTGTGCCTTATTTATCTGTTACAGTTGAATTTAATTTTAGCAAAATAGATTGCCTGCCTGAAAGAAGGAATGTCTTCTTGAAGAAAGTTTTCAGAAGCCAAAAACTACATATCAGTATATTGAAATAAATCAAATATCTGTTTATTTTAAACCCCAGAAATGATAATAAAATAGAATATTTTGGCTTATGGATGTGTTATTTTTGCCCATTGCTTTGTGCTTCACAAAACTTAATTTTCTTTTTGATTTATATGTAGTTTATTTTTTATTAGAGTTTGTAGAGACTGATTGTTTTTTGAGTCATTTGCTCTGGAGGTGAAAAGGTGATTGCATTAATTACTTTCAGTTTTTGTTACTTAGCACTCACCTTTTATGCATTTGCTACTAATGCAGCTGAACTCGTATTAAAGGTGTTTTGTTTAATTTTAGTATTTTTATATATTCTTATATGTTCTCTGCTGCACAACATTTAAATCTGAATTTAATATACTGATAAGTGCAGTAATAATATGATCTGATTGATATATGTATATATATATATTAAAGTATAATTTTATTTTATTTATTTTTTACATAGCCTGAAAGATTGCAAGGAACACATTATACAGTTCAATCTGATATCTGGAGTCTTGGACTTTCTCTTGTTGAAATGGCTATTGGTCGATACCCAATTCCTCCTCCTGAACCCAAAGAGCTTGCAGCAATTTTTGGCCCCAAGTATTCAGCAAGTGCAGATCAAAGTGAATCTCCTTCACCTAGCTCCAAAAACAGACCTAGTAAATGGCCATTTTTAATAAACTTCCCTGTGACAGTTGTTTAATCAAGTCGTCTTTGTAATAATATTACTTGTAATAGTATTGTGATCTTTATATTTCAGAATCTGTTATATACAATATTTTTGTTTTTAGAGAGTTCTAATAACTGTTTTTGATTGACTGATCAGTTTTGTTTTAATGTAATTTTAACTAGAATTTGTAACAACAGTATCTGTCATATTAGTGCAAAACTGACAGTGGGAAGTAAAGTCTGTTATATTAGCTTCAATGTTTAACGGGGTTTTCGTAGTTAGTTTGTTTGTTTCTGAAGTGGTGGGGAAAAGTGCTGATATTAATAGTTTCTTCTGTATTGTGTGAATGAAAAAATTAGTATTTTCCTTTACTGTATACAAGGTTTGTATAGGCCTTAAGAGTCCTTAAAAGTCCTTAATTTTGGCCAAAATCAGCAGAAGGTCCTTAAATTTCAATTAATTAATGAAATTTCTGTCTGTTTTTACGACTGTCATTTTGAGTGTGAATTAGCATTTTGGAGGAATATTTTTGGCAATTCACTGATGTATATATGGTTATCTTTTGAATGGGTTCATGAGTTATAATTTGTTTCTATTTCTAATGTGGGGTATTCGAGTTTCTAAGCAAGAAGTGAAACGTAAGCATTTTGAAATTCATTTTTTCTAATAAATAGCTCTTAAATAACTTTTTGCTTTTGGGGATGTGAATTCTTTTTATTAAACGGTTCTAAATTTGTCGACTTTTCAACACTTTTGCGATTTTAAGATCAGTTTCTGTAGAAACTTTTTAATTCCGAAATCTGATAATTTTTCAACGATTTTTTTTTAAACATCGTAACATTGATTAATTTCATTAAAATAAAGTTAATGTATTGAAATTATATTTCAAAAATAACATTAAAATAAAACATTTTTATTTTTCGCTGTCATATTATGAAGTTTTGTTTTGGCAACTTATTAATATACAATATTTTGAATCTGAAAAATAAACAAGGTATAATGCTATAAAGCACAATTTACGAAACAGCTCTTAGCGAAAGCAAAATTAGCTATGTAATTAATTAAAAAGTCTTCTTTTTAATTTTTCATAGTAAGAGTTTTTCCTATGTAATTAATTGTCTCAGAATATTCAAAATTCTCAGAATATGTATCTGTTTTCTCTATAAAATTAATTTTACACTTTTTCCTCCTTTTTTTTCCAAAATATTTCTGGCTTTTTGCTGTTACAGAATTGGTAGGGATAATTTTTCTTTAGGATTTTAGACATTGCAGCTTGGAAAGTTTAGAAGGATTTGAAGACAAGGTATATAGACTCATGATTCTAGAAGATTCAAGAAATAGGTGACAAAATTAAAAATATCTTCATGGTATCAACACGTAATGGATGTATTTTACGGAAAGTTTACAATGAATTACTTTTTGGAAGAATGTCTGGAAGAACAATGAAAACATAATATTTCAATGTTTTTACTTATGATATTAGAATCTTAACATCTTTATCTTCCCTTTATTTTCTCTACTTTTTCACTAGACATAAGCATGGAAAATATCAAAAATGCTTCTAATCTTATTATATGGGCCGGCAATTATAGAAAGGGTTTTTTTATTAATAAAGAAATTGAAAACTTACAATTTAAAAGGTTCATCTAATATGTCTTAATGCATCATACACATAGCTGGAAATAGGCATTTTCCCACCTGATGCAATCTCTGTGGATCCTAAATTCTGCTGCCTAGTACCTTTTTAAATTCTGCTTCCAATGCCTGTTCTAAATTCTAAAAGTTTTGACATTTCTAGAATTTGTTGTTCAGTGTGTCGCTAAATTCTAAAAATTCTACCACATCAGCTCTGTAACCGGCCTTTACCATATATATTCCATATTTCTTCTGAATGTTCATATTACTAAAATAAAATTAGCCACTTTTTCTGAACATTCTAAATGCATTTAGTGTTTTTTAGAATAAAAGAAATCCTTAATTAAATCCAAAAATTCTAAAATGTAAAGGAAACACGTTGAAGAAACTGCGTACATAAAGAAAATTTTTCTTCAAAGATATGTGCAGTTATTATTATGTAAATTACCCAGTTGTTTATGATTTCAGCCTTTACTGTAATTTCCCATTTCTCTTTCCTCATTTGAGCCAGATTAAATTTAAATTAAATTGTATAATCTTTGACCACTAGTCCACATTATTAGTTTGAATTTGACTGTTCTTGTTTAATTAGTCACCGTGAGCTGTAATTGATTTTGTTAGCATCAGAACATGCCTTTATGTTCTAAGTTCTTTTTAAATAAGAGGCTTATTTAAGCCTTTGCCTGATATTGTAGTTATTTTCAGAAATAGCAATAATATGCTTCACGTCTATCGGGGGTTTTGGACTATATAACTTTTACCAGATCAAGTAAACCCTCATAGGTACATTGTGGAGAGGGTGACAAGTCAGGAGGAAATAAAGCACACAGAAACTAGCGAGAGCAGTTTTTTGCATATTGAGACAAATCTCTAATTGTTAGAAAAGATGCTTAAAGTGAAGGAAATCGATATAAACTAGCCAAAATGTTTGGGAAGGCTTCCAATTAAAATGATGGGTAAATATTTTGTACAAAACATAAATGTTTTGTAGCTTTTAGTGTGTAATTATCCTAATAGCGTTTAAGAATCAATGTCATACATTACATGTATTTTAAACTGTGAAATTTTATTAGATTTTGATTTTAATAGGGCTTTTTAACAAATATTGTTAAAAATAAAATTTAATAGTGGCCATGTAAATACATAATGACTAAGGTTATCAAACTACCTCATTTAATTATTTATAACTAACTGCTTACCCTTAAAAATTATCTCTATATGTTATTGCCATTCATTAATACTCACTGTGGTCACAAGATAAAATACAAAAATGTAAAAATTCAAGAAAAACTTATTCTTTGCATCTACTGAGACTTAAAGTAATACAAAAAACTTATCACCTCTGGTGCTTTAATGCCTTATTGGAACCTTAAAGTATATTAACTGGGTTACAACCCCTCGAACTCTACACGAAGCTATGACACTAACTGCATCAAACAGAGCCTAACTTTCAACAGTTGCCAACCGTGCCTACATTAGGCTATTCAGGTTTGTTCTAATCAGCGGGTCTCTCTAGACAAGCAGCAGCACTGACAACACTCAGTCTTGTTATGAATGATGCTAATTATGAACTTACTTGTCATTTTACATGACAAAATGTGACATAAAAAAATAAACATAAAGCTAACTGTTAGTAAAACGTAAATGTTGGTCGTATTCTTTCAAATATGACCAACTATTATAAGTATAACATATTTAATGCTACTTGATAAGTTGCATAAAGTTTATTTTATTCTCAAACTTATTAATAATTATGTTCATTAATTCATGTTTAATAATAATGCATACTACTTACGTATCTATTTTATTTTTAGGATGGTGTTACAAAAGTGAAATTCAGGCATAGATAATATTTTTAATTGAATTAATTCAGTTCTTATTTGCTCATAGGTCCTTAATTTTTTTCATTAATAGTTCTTAAAAGTCCTTAAAAGTACTTAATTTCCGTGTGCAGAAATGCGTACGAACCCTGTGTATAGTTAGAGTGCTGATTCTTAGGTTCATTTTTGCAAAGCACAATGAGATTTTGAGTATATATGTATGTTATTGATGGGTAGTACATGTGACAGTTATTGAATTGAAATTGTAGGGCTAAATTATGTTGGGATAGATTATGTAAGACTGTAATTAAAAGTCTTTAAAAAAATTTTTTTGTGAGGATTTTATTTATGATAATGGTGAATGACAGAATGTTGTGAAACTGATTAGCTGTATCTTACAAATATTCAAAACAAATCTCTTCATTTTGATGTACAAGACACAGATGGCGTTGGCTGTCATTGAATTAGGAAGAGAAAAAGTGTTTTTCTCTTTCGACCTTGTGACGTGAACTGATTAAGATGTGTAATAACTTTCGGGCCAAAAAATTTTCCGACAATTGTTAAAAAATGTATATATTTTGTAGTGTAGAGAGAATATAATTAGATAAATCAACTTCTTAGAGTTTTTTATTCCGATTCAACATCACACTACCCAGGTAAGTGAGCAAGTTTTGTCTTTAGTTTTTCTGGATTGCTCGGTATCTTGGATGAGTGGAGGAAGTAATTTTTATTTTAATGATATTTAATGATAAGACTATGTTTTAGTAATAACATAAAGTGGCGTCCGCGACAGGACTCTAAGAAATAAACTTTAAAAAAAAATATTTTAATGGTTATAGATAGTTTTTGATGTATTAAAGTATAATTAAGTTTAAATTCGAAACTATTTTGTAAAGCATTTTATTTTATTTTGAAAGTTAACTATGGAAGCTGTAAAGGCTCTGAAACTTAAACGGGCAGGTTTATGCACTTCTTTTGCAAAAACTGCTAATATTTTAAAAACAGAGTTAGTAAAAGAAGATTTTTCTGTAGATTTAGTAAGATAAACTTACTAAACTACAAAATGTATATTCAGATATAAAAAATGTAGATGATAAAATTCTTGATTTGTTAACTGAAGATGGAAAAACTTTAGAGGATGATGTTACTAAAGAAATCGAAAGTCGCGAGGTGCATTCTGATGATTTCATAACACTAACTCGGCAAATGAATAAAAAATTGCAATTTTCAGATGAAATCAATTTAGAAACAAGACCAAATGATGGTGCTGGTATTTGTTGTAGTAAGATTAAACAGTATAGACTTCCAAAAATCGAACTTAAGAAGTTTGATGGGGAAATTGATAAATTGGCTACCGTTTTGGTCGCAGTTTGAGAAAATTCACACTGACCCTGATTTATATGAAAAGTGACAAATTTTCCTATTTGATTCAGTGTATGAAGCCCGGATCACGTGCTAAAGAATTCATTGAAAGCTATCCGGTGACTTCGGAAAATTATGATAAAGCTGTTTTTAGCTTTGAAGGAACGTTTTGGGAAACCTGAATTATTAGTAGAAGTGTATGTTAGGGAACTAATT